AACTTTGTATTGGAATGGACTTTAGTTCTGATGAGTCTGCATATAAAGCTTATAGAAAATATGGAGGCAATCATGGTTTCGACGTAAGGAGACAACGAACTTCAAAAAAAAACAAGAAGCTAGTAAGGATGGTTTATGTATGCTCAAAAGAAGGGTTTAGACAGGAACCTAAGGTCAAGAAATCATTTTCACGACCAACCACAAGGTGTGGTTGTAACGCTCGCATGTCTTGCTACCTTCAGAGTAACGGAAGATACAAGATTGTGAATTTTGAGCCGAATCATAACCATGATTTAGTGAGGACACCTATGAAGCATTTTCTAAAGAGTAACCGAGAAATGTCTATCTCTCAAAGACAACATGCTGATGATGCCGATATGTCAGGAATTTCAGCAAAGGCAACCATTGAAATGATGAGTAGAGAAGTTGGGGGGCGAGCAAATCTGGGTTTTATAGATAAAGACCTGCGCAACTACATATACCGTAAGCGAACGTCGGCAATGGAAAAGGGAGATGCTGGAGCGGTTTTGGAGTATTTTCAAAAAAAGAAAGAGGATAATGCATCTTTTTTTTACTCAATGCAACTTGATGAAGACGATATGATCACTAATATCTTTTGGGCAGATGATCGGTCAATTAGTGATTACAATCTTTTTGGAGATGTCGTTTGCTTTGATTCAACTTACAAGACCAATGAATATGATAGACCATTTGCTCCATTTGTCGGGGTCAATCATCATAAGCAAACTATTGTGTTTGCTGCTGCTCTCTTATATGATGAAACCACAGAGTCTTTTGAGTGGCTTTTTCAGACTTTTCTTGGAGCAATGTCTGGAAAACAACCGCAAACAATTCTTACAGACCAATGTGCGGCAATGGCAAATGCAATAGGAAAAGTTTTTCCTGATACAAAACATAGGTTATGTGTTTGGCATATTTACCAAAATGCTGCAAAGAGGTTGAGTCGTGTATTTCATGGACCAGACCAGTTTGCCATAGACTTTGGAAAATGTGTATATGACCATGAGAATGAAGCATAGTGGTTATCAGCATGGAGTGAAATGCTCGAGAAGCATGGATTGGCAGATAATAAATGGTTGAAGGATTTGTTTGAGTTAAGAGAAAAATGGGCAAGGGTATATGGTCGCCAGACTTTCACAGCCGATATGATGAGCACTCAGCGTAGTGAAAGTATGAATAATATTTTGAAAAAATATTTGATGCGCGGGTATAACTTGTTGCGCTTCTTTGAACACTATGAGAGAGTGTTGGATGATCGGCGATTTAAAGAATTAACTGCTGACTTTGGCATGATGCACACCTCACCGGTCTTATCGGCTCCTGTAGAAATGTTACAACATGCAGTGGACGTGTATACACCGGAAGTCTTTACCTTGTTCCAGAAGGAATACACAGCTATTGGTGATTATGTTGCCAAAAGGGTCAATAAGTCTGAGATGGTAAGTGCTGAATACAATGTATCTTTCCGTGGTGTTGGGAAAAATCATTTGGTTAACTATGTGGCTACAAATGAAACGATACATTGTAGTTGTATGAAGTTTTCTTTTGCTGGAATCTTATGTCGTCATGCTTTAAAAGTGTTGACCAAGAAGGATGTTAGAAGAATTCCACCTACCTACATTCTGAATCGCTGGAGTAAGGAGGCTAAAGCACGAACCATATCTTTTTATCATTCAGCGACACCTAATGATACAGTGAAGCAATCAATCGGAAAGCGCTATAGTCATATATGTTGTACTTTCCGGGAGATAGCATCTGTTGCTGCTGAACATGTAGAACTGACGTTGTGTGCAGATAAAGCTGCATTTCAGTTGCTTGAAAAATTGAAGGAAAAGAAAAAGGAACTTGTGAAAACTGATAAATGGATCCTCCCTACTTCAGATTTTGAACTTGTGGAAGAAGAAGAAGAAGTTCTAGATGTGCGTGGGATAAAAAGAAAAAATCCTCCTGGACGACCAAAGAATAAAAAAGTCGGACGCCATGGTCGATATTTGAGTGTGCTTGAAACGAAAAATCGTGGTATATCAAAATCATCCAATAATGGTACAGTAAAGAAGAAGTTGTCGTTTCAGGTATTTAATATATATCTATATATATATATATATATATATTTTTTTTTTGTTCAATCTTCATCAATATTTGTTACTTAATCAATATATATATATATTTCAGGACTCAAGTCTTTCTCATGATACCCAATTATCTGTTAATGCGACTAGTTGCAATGAGCCTTCTTTTTCACAACTGCTCCAGGTTAATATTTCATTCTTTATATTATTTATATTTGAGTTATATGTCAAATTTTTAATTATTTTGCGTCTTATATTTTGTAGGAATTTGACAAGAATCATGGTGAATCATCGTAATAATTTTGTTATTTTAAATGTAGAAGCATACATTAGTTATGTTTCTGTTTTTGTTCTTACTTTTGGTGTTTCTAGCATATTTTTGTCTTCAAAGATTTTGCTGAACTAGAGCTTATCCTTGTTCTCGACAGTGGTCTTTTTTAAAAGTGGTATTTTCTTTGTTATTTTGAAATGATCTAAATAGCTGATCGATGCTTCGACTCTGCAAAATTAAGTTCGTTATATATTGCAGAGTTATAAAAGAACAAATATAACGAGCTTTTTTTGACTGGTGTTATTAAAAGACGATGTCAGCAGTTTCTTGGTATCTCGTGGTTTCTCATCTTCCTATTGCCTAATAAGTCAAGCTCCATATTCACGTGCTATAGAACGTGTACACAGGATAATAATTCACGTGCTCTACCACTTTGATAAGATACTTGGGTTTTATTATTGTTTTATTTTCATTATAGACCAGACTCCAAAGCTTGGTTCACCATAATCTATGTGTCCAGCTTCAGTCACTACCCATGATGTTTTATTACTAAGGAGAACAGATTTGTTTGTAAACCTTCTTGTCTCCTTTGCTTATCCAAGGTTCAACAAAGAGAAGCATGATCCGAAGCTCAAAACACTTTTTTCTTTCACATTCCAAGATTCCTTTTCAATCATTCAATATCAGTTTTTTTTTTGTGTTACAACAACTGTTTTAATATCAATACTCTTGCCTACTTTTGTCTCTTGAAATACAGATGAGAAAGAAAAAGGACAATGATAAAGAGAATTACATAAGCAACAAACAAATCTATCCACAACAGAAGAAGTATTTGCAGGGGGGGGGGGGCGTGAAGCTGTTTTTTCTCGGCTTTGTCATCGGGGGAACTGACCTTTGTGGCGATGAATTGTTGATCCTTAGCCACCGAAGTTTTTGTAGCAGATTCTTCACTGGTTTGTCTTGGGACTTTGTGTGTTCTAGTTTGGGATTTTCTCTTAGTCCAGGAATGGAGAGATGGGAGTACAACATGACATACATAGTTTGATTTGGATTGGAGAAGAAATCAAAATTCGATTTGGAAGCATAGAATTGGAGATTCAACTTGAAAAACACAGCTTTCATCTTCTCTGTGGGTGATGAAGGAAGCCATCGAAAGCAGTTAACGAAGAAGAACACGTTTGTGTTTCTTTGCTTAACGGCGGCGTCTCTTGTTTTTTTTTTTTAAGCTATTTTCCTCTTTTTTTTTTTTTTTTTTAAAATTTTAATATTCCTTTTCTCCTAATCCTACATGGCAATTTGATTGGTGCTAATAATAGAGGTGAATTTAAGGATTCACCATAGGGGGTGAATGCAAGTTTTGTTCATTCATGATACGTCCAGATAACGTTTTGTTTTACTAAAAGGCCCATTAGATAATATCATCACTCCCACATGAATTCTCAAAGAGCAGACGGTTCCTCTCTTCATCTAATAGGCTTTTGCATCAATCACTCTCTCAGCCAAATAAGGCAAGCAGAAAGCAGCTGAGTGAATCTGCAAACAAAAGATTCAATAGTTAAAAAGATGAGACATTCAACACAAGCATGATATGAACTGATTGCTATAGTAGCGATTATTTTTTTACTACCTCGGAGTTGTATAAAACCGTAAGGGTACTTGTGATTTGACAGCGTTCTCATCAGCATCGTCTGGGTTCACTGGTTTCTTGAAATCAACCTAACGCTAGTCCAAAGCTTAGCAACAATGTCTTTTATGATCTCCACTTGGATGTTTAGCTGCTATACATGTTCAATGACTCAACGAATTGTTTCTCAAATATCTCTTCTGTGGTTTATTTGTTTTCATCTCGACTAGGGAAGAGAAAGATCAACATTCTATCTTATATAAACTTGACCATAAGTGTGTTAGAAAAACAAAATTTGACGATAAGTACAGTACTATTTTCCATTAATGCAGTATTGAAGGTTCTATCATAGTAAATTGTTGGCATAAAAAATATTCCAAAATCTGGTATGGCATGCAGTAGTATAATAGAATCTGCAAAATTTTACTATGATATACCAAACACATGCCAGGTTTGACTTAAGTTGCGTAACCAGATCTTGCTTGCAACATGTTTCTTTTGAAAGAATTATAGAGTACATACAACAGTTTAATCGATACAACAAAAAGCATTGAAAAAATAAACAATGAAATGAAGTGAACATAGTTAACTTTTTAGCATATTGAATAAACAAAAGCAGACCACTAACGCAACGTTTTATATTATTATTATTAGTTTTCAAAATCATTTAGCATTTTTATTTCATCAGAACAATAACTCTTTGAACACTTAAGTTACATAAAACTAAAAAGTATATAAAATGAAAATAATGAGATATGATATTTAATTTTATCAAACAAAACCAATATAAAGTATAAAACTTAAATGTGTACTGAAAGTGGTAAAATAATATTCCGTATAAAAAAGTAGAAAAAAAATAAGAGGTTGAATTATAAATCTTTGTGGATATTATTATACGTTGTGTCTAACTTGCAAATCAGGCTTAAGATTTTACTTTAAATATCTTCCAAAACAGATATACAAAACAATAAAAAAAATATTCAGAACTATATCATGCGTGTAAGCTAACCCCTATGGACAATTGGCCATCTCCTCCTCCCCACCAATAATTGCTTAGCCACAAAGTAAACGACACCGTTTAGAATCTCACACAGACAAAACCACACCGTCTAAAAAACTATCTCCAAGTTAACGCAATAACTTCCACAAAAAAGTCAAAAGTCAACGACTTTCCCCAAAAAAAACTCCAAAATGGGCTCCGCCGACGACATCTCAACCGACCCGGAAACAGGACCCGAGACATCCCTCCTCAACGGAGCCTCAACAACCACCAAACCCTCCCCTCCAGACTCCTACCACTTAGCCTACATCATCTACTTCACCCTCGGCGTCGGCTTCCTCCTCCCATGGAACGCCTTCATCACCGCCGTCGACTACTTCTCCTACCTCTACCCTTCCACCTCCGTCGACCGCATCTTCGCCGTCGTCTACATGCTCGTCGGCCTCTTCTGTCTCCTCGTCATCGTCGTCTTCTACGCCCACAAGAGCCTCGCTAGCTTCAGGATCAATCTCGGTCTCTTGCTGTTTGTTGTCTCCTTGCTTGTGATCCCTGTGTTGGATCTTGTTTATGTTAAAGGGCGAGTGGGATTGTATGTTGGGTTTGATGTTACTTCTGTTGCGGTTGGTCTGTCTGGTTTGGCTGATGCGCTTATGCAAGGGGGGTTGATTGGTGTGGCTGGGGAGATGCCTGAGAGGTATACGCAAGCTGTTGTTGCTGGAACTGCTGGTTCCGGTAAGAAAGTCTCAACCTTTAATGGATGTTGTTTAGATTGTTAACTTAGACTTAAAAAGATTCAACATTTACTGTAAGATTGTTAACTTAATTTACAAAGGTTTGCTTTTTAAGGTGTTGTGTCTCTGTTGAGGAATTTTGACATAAAAAGATTCAACCTTTAATTGATGTTGTTTAGATTGTTAACTTAGAAAGGTTTGGTTTTTAGGTGTTGTTGTGTCTCTGTTGAGGACCTTGACTAAAAAAGATTCAACCTTTAATAGAAAGTTTCAACTTTAATTGATGTTGTTAGGTTGTTAACTTATAAAGGTATGATTTTTAGGTTTTCTTGTGTCTCTGTTGAGGATTTTGACTACAAAAGATTCAACCTTTAATAGAAAGTCTCAACGTTTAGTGGATATTGTTATATTGTTAAGTGTTAACTAAGAAATGTTATGATTTTTAAGGTGTTCTTGTGTCTCTGTTGAGGATCTTGACTTAAAAAGTTTCTACCATTAATGAATGTTGTTTTTTTTTGTTTTTTTGAAACACAATGGATGTTGTTTAGATTGTTAACTTATAAAGGTCTGATTTTTAATGTGTTCTTGTGTGGATCTTGGCTCAAAAAGTTTCTACTTTTAATGGGTGTTGTTTAGATTGTTAACTAAGAAAGGTTTGATTTTTAGGTGTTCTTGTGTGTCTGTTGAGTATCTTAACTAAAAAAGATTCAACTTTTAATTGATGTTGTTAGATTGTTAACTTAGAAAGGTTTGATTTTTAAGGTATTTTTGTGTCTCTATTGAGGATCTTGACTAAATTTTATTTTTTATTTTTTTGTAGGTGTTCTTGTGTCTCTGTTGAGGATCTTGACAAAAGCTGTGTACCCTCAAGATCCTAATGGCTTAAGAAAAAGCGCGAATCTCTACTTTGCTGTGGGTATAGTTGTTATGGTGATCTGTGCTGTATCCTACAACGTAGCTCACAAGCTTCCTGTGATCAAGTTCCATGAAGAGCGCAAGGCTCAAGCACTGCTCAAAGAGAGTCAAGAGAACGGTTCTTTAACCGGACCAATGTGGAGAAAAACACTCTGGCAGATCGTGACTAGGATAAAGTCTCATGGCTTTGGGATTGTACTTATATACATTGTGACGTTATCGATATTCCCTGGCTACATTACCGAGGATGTTCACTCTGATCTGCTTAAAGATTGGTTCCCTGTTCTACTCATTGCAGCTTTCAATGTCTTTGACTTGGTTGGGAAGTCGTTGACTGCTGTTTACATGCTTGCGGATGAGAAGATTGCTGTTGGTGGGTGCATTGCTAGGCTGTTGTTTTATCCTCTCTTTTGGGGTTGCTTGCATGGTCCTATGTTTTTGAGGACTGAGATACCTGTGGCGTTGCTGACGTGCTTGTTGGGACTTAGTAATGGGTACTTGACGAGTGTTTTGATGATTCTGGCTCCGAAGTCTGTGGCGTTGAAACACTCTGAGACGGCGGGGATTGTGAGTGTGTTGTTCTTGGTTATTGGTTTGGCTTCTGGATCTGTCTTGGCTTGGTTCTGGGTCATTTGATTCTACCAAACCAAACCTTTGTTTCTTGTATTTGTATTCTTTAAAGCTTCAAGAAACTAAGCTTTATTGTTTTGTGAATTGGTTGTTTTTTTACTTCATTAAAACCTTTTGTACATTAAGAACACAACAAACTAAGCTGAAAGCAGACAAAACTACATATTGGTTCTGTCATTAAAGCAAGTGTGATGAAGGTTTAAACACATTACTTAGTGTGTCGAGCCTTCCCTTCCTGGTAGATTAGTATCTTTCAAGGGTTTGACCAGCATAATAAGCTGAGGCTCTCCTGTCTTAAGGAAGACATCTTCTCCGAAGTAGACAATGAAACTGCATCTTTGTTGAGGTTTAGATAAAGAAGAGTGGTTTAGAAGTTCAAGAAGTGGCAAAACAGAGTATGGCTTTTTTTTGGAACGTTGTTAACGGTCGAATTGATGCTAGATCAGTGTTTCTATTTGAATTATCTAATAAAAATCTGTGATCGTTTTGGCTTAACACTGACAACATGAATGCGACGGTGAGTTCAGTTCATTTGGAGGGGTGATTAGCTTTAAAGTTAGTGTAATTAGCCAATTTGAGGAATCAAATTGTGAGACAGATTAACAACCACTTAATATACGAGTTCTGGTGAGATTCAAAGACTAAAAACACATGAGTAAAATGACAAGAAGTCGAAGTGTTTCAATAGAAGTATATTTTTTTGAGTAAAACTCTAGCAAAAATGAGTAGTTTTATTTGCTGACAGAATTGTTAAAGTAATGAAATCATCACACTGAAGATGACAACTGTATAAGTAAACAGAACAAAGGAGCCCTTTGAAGAAATGTTATCTTAAAACCTTTGGAGGAAGAGGAAAAAACTGCAGACCGCCGATGATGAAACAAGTTTCTTGGAATCTGACATGTAAACCTGGAGTCAAAACTTGGAGGCCCCATGTTATAGTGTCGTTCCAAATCCTGCAAATACCAAAATGGCATACACATCCATTAGTCAATTTTCAAATTGACTAGCTCAATTCTGGTCCACTGCCTCTCAGATATTAAATCAACACATAAGGTTCCACTCTCTTGGGTTAATGGCTAAGAAAAGGAAAGCTGATCATCTGGAAAAACAGACAAATGATAAAAGAACAACTCGTTTCAACTCAAAGGAAGGCCCTTAGCAACTTGTTTCTAGACACAGCTCAACACTTGATATGGCATGTAGAGCAGATCCTTTATTGAATCCTAACTAAGTAACCTAAGATCCATATTATTCAACTGAGACTAACTTTTATGGAAACATGAATACAGAATCCACTTCGTTTCCAATCAAGAACATCATCAGACAAGACAAAAAGTAAAGAAAGAAAGAATATACCTTCAGATAAGCAACCCCAGCTTTGATTGCTAAGAGAGAGCAAGGAAGTGAGTAAAGCTGAAGCAGTAACACTATGTAATGGTATAAGCGACATCCCTGCTGCACTCAGCTCCACAGGGATCCTAGACAACAACAACAACAACACAAACCAACCCCAATTAATTATACATTTCATACCAAAAAAAAAAAAAAACTAATTTTTCAGTGCAACTGGCAACGACGGATCTTTCGCTTATAGTGTAAATTCACATAAAAAGACAAAGTTTTTTAATTCAGTTCTAAGGTTGTTGAAGCTAACCTGGAGGATGTGAGCCTACGAAGTGAGGAGCGAGATGATGTTGACCCATTCGCGAAAGCGAATCCAGCTGATTTTCCGACATTCGGACAAGAAGACGCAGCTGAAGAACGACCGAAGAGTGTTCTCCCTGTCGATGAAGACAGCTTAAGGGCCCTTCTCATGCCGTTGGTCGCCATTTTTCAACTCTTTTTTGGCTCAAACCCTTTCGGCGGAGAACATGTTGTGATTTCACAATTGTGGGGTTTTAGTTCGGGTCGGGTTAGATCCCTAATTAGTTGGATCCATTACAAAGCCTAATTAGGCCCATTACTGCATACCATTTTTTTCCTTAGAGTTGGGTTATAATCTGGTTTAACCGGGAATAAGTAACCGGTTAGCCACCTGGCCCTTCTCTTATCATTTCAGGTAGGCTTGTTTAATTTCGAGGATTGGGGACTGTAAATGGATGGAAATAGACGTAGTATGTGTATGTGCACATTGTTCATCTGCTTATGGACACTACGAAATTTTACGAGGAAAATGGAAAGTGAAACTGTTGGAGGATGATCAAAATTCAAATGTGGTATTGTCACGCCTTTGTTGATTGATCTTAGCATGTGTTTTCCGGTTCTAAGAATGTGCGGACAGTGCATTTGCACCAGAATCCGTCCTGTTGTTTAATTTTTCTTTTAAAATTTAGGGTCTAAAATTTCTAAAAATTTATCAAATGGTGTTCAAAATTTCGCAAAACTAATTAATACATTATAAATTGTTTGTTTTTTATATATCATTTTGCACAATGCCCAAACAATTTTTGAGCCGGGCCTGTTTCAGACAATGACATCTGGAAGAAGAAATGCTTGTAAGAATGTGAAGAATTTGTGAGTCTTGTGACATTAATCACAGATAGAGAGAACTAGAAGAAGATTTTTTTTTTTTCTATTTAAATATTTGCGTCCTTATCTCTAAAGCATCTATCAAGGCTTATGATTGATGATTAAAAGTTTTTCAAACACATAAACCATAATCAATCCCATTCTCTGTTATATGTAACCAGTGGGTCTTTCTTGATTTTGAACGTCAATTACATGAAGACTCAAATGTTGTTCAAAGTTTTATTGTTTACAGCTTTTTTTTTTTGAAACAGAAGAAGCAAAGAAGTTTGAAATAAGAAAACAAGTTGAGACCAGAATCAACATGGTAGAAAAAGGAAAAAGATGACTCAAAGCTTTTTGTGAGAAAAAAACAGCAAAGAGTATGTTCAAGAGAATTCATAAGCAGGAGTGGTCTTGAAATCAAGCTCCCAGAGATCAAACGTGCCTTTGACGAAATCGTAGTGAGCTCCTCTTATTGCGAGTGTGTTCTTCACTACTGCAGCTCTCACAAATGGGTACGAAAGCAAGTTCCCAAGCGACACATTCACAGCTTCCTGCAAAGAGACACATAGATTCGTTAACAGAGCAATCATTGTTTGTGTTACTGTCTACTTTCAAAACTTGTTGTGTTACCTTCTCACACTTGTTGCACTGATCGTCGTAGCTTAGGTCTTGATTCTCTTCCTTGATTTTGTTCCTTGCTTGTGCTCCTATCTTCACCCAGTTTTCTATGAAGTCACTGCCATTTTTTAAAAAAAAAATCCACAAGAACATTATACTAATCCTTCTCTTTTGCCACTATTTTGATGTGCCAAGTCAAATATAGTTATTAATTACCTCTGAGTTGGTGCAGCATCATCTTCAATGGACATGAGTCCCTTAATGCCACCACAACAGCTATGGCCTATCACCACAATGTTCTCCACCTGCCAAAAATATGATTATTAAAGAACCATTTGAATATGAATAAAGGTACATGGCATTAAACCCATTTGTACATTATCCAAAAGGATTCATATTTATATACATTTTTATAAAAGATAACAGCGGAATGCAATTCTTATTGGCAAAAGAAAGGTTTGGTGGATGCAATGGGGACAAATGCTACAGTAGTATATGACTAGGCATCAACTTTTAGCAAGTGCCATGTGCAAAAAACGCATCACAAGACTTTTCAAAAACAAAAGTTTGGCATAATCGAAAAGAGGTAAACTTTGTTATATGATAACTGATATTAGAAGATAAGCAAGTTTCCTTATTTATAAATTAAAATCTATAAGTGCCTATCATTAAAAAAGAGGGTGGCTAAGGAGTTTTATATACACCTTGAGATGTACAACTGCGTATTCAACGGCGGCACCAACTCCAGAATGTCTCTTCTGTGAAAATATCAAGAAAGCTTTTAGCAGTTAGATGATTTGATCTTTGGACAAAAGCCTTTTGATATGGTTTAGGGTTTGTTAAGAACCTGGTCGAAAGGTGGAACCATGTTAGCAATGTTTCTGACGACAAAGGCTTCTCCAGGTTGGAAATTCAAAATGTGAGATGGACAAACTCTAGAATCTGAACAAGCGAATACCAGAAACTGTAAAAAAAGAAAGAAAAAAAGATTATAGTTTTCAATAAAATAATCGTTTGTTTTTATATTGCTATCAATATCAAAGAAAGTGGTCGTCTACTCGTCTGTCCTTGAGTTTGTAAAAACTATCCATAAAGTCAACAAACATCACACTTGGATTTAAAAAGGATATGCTTTTCACACACCTTTTATTATCTATTATTGTTCAAAACAAGAAAAAGTAATGAACAAACTAGAGAATGATAAAAATGTTGAAACCTTTGGGCTCTGACCCTTGGCAAGATCACTGAACAGAGCATCATTTTTCCTGTAAAAAGAATAAGAAAGTCAGGGATCAAGTATAAAATCCAGAACTTATTTTAAAAACATCTCTTTCTGTCTAATGCATATACTTAATTGGATATTTGTTAATCTTTACCACTAACAGAATCACTATAAGGACTTAACTTTTAAGCACCTTTTATTAGCACTATCAGTATTAGATGAATGATGTTATATTAATTAAATGTATTTGCTTTATTAAAGGTTCAGAAAATGGGTGATTCCACTTCAGCGTCACGAATATAAAAAAAACAATCATTTTATTTTCTTAAAAAGTAATAATAAAGAAATTATAAAAAAAATAAAAAGTAACTAACAAGTATTTTTCGGTTTTGAAGTGGGTGAAACCGGATTTGATACGTTCAACGGCGTCGTTGTTGGAGGCATCAAGCTCCTTCAGCTCCTGCGTCAACACTTTGATCTTCTCCGCGGCTACGTTCCCCAGATCTGTTTTCTTACTGCCCAAACAACCCAAAAATAAAAATAAAAACGCGTAAAAAGGTAAATAAAGTAAAAAAAGCGTGATCAACGGCTAAGATCAGTCGTACGCGTACGTCGTACGAAATCCTAAAATGTCTGGGGTCATGCGAATTAAACACACACACGGAGAAAAACCAAAAGACCTTTTTCGATTCAACGTCAAAACTTTTTGTAACAAGAATAATTCAGAAAATTAATCAAACGATGATGGTGAAGGTGTGAATATGTCCGACACACTGTTTGTATCTAATGATTGTTGTCTCTGTCCTTTTGAGGTTTGAGACAGAGAGAATGTTTGGTCGTACCTGAGAAGATCATTCAGTCCTTTAATGGCGGCTTCGTACGATTCCGTTGCCATCTCGTCTTCTTCTCCCTATTTTAAACAAAAAAAAAAACAATCAATTAAATTTCAGAAAGTTTTGAATATATTATGACTCGAAACGATCAATTTGGACTGTGAAGCTTTTGGGATCTGAAGAAGACGATTGACCTTAAAGTGATTGGTTCAAAAAAGCAGAGGATATAAGGAAATGTGAAATTACTTAATGCTGTGATGATGATGATGAGAATCGGTATTTATAGACTCTGAGTGTGTGTGTGATCCATGCCTCAAGTCTTACATTTTTTTTTTTTTAACACGGAATTGAAAAAAAAAAAACTCCACAAAAATGGGAAGAGAATATTAAAAAAATGTGTGGGGCGAAATGGTGATTTATGAATAATGTGGGGTTGTTGTGAACATGCCGAATTTTAATGAGTCTCTCTATATATTCTTATTCATTTTATCAAGTTTACACCTAATATTTATTCTCTGGAGTAATGATTATATATTCGAATATCAGACCATTTCATTCTCCTTTTCTTATATTCCATTTGGGGTAAATTTTTATGTTAGGTATCAAATTTTTTCCTTCCTACCCAAAATCGAAAAGTAACTAATCACCATTGATGATTACAGACAGACATATACTGTATTATTTGTTCGGGAAAAACTAAAGTCTTTATTCGGGAAAAACTAAAGTCAACTAAATCTATTTTAATTTTATTCATTTTAAATTATTTGGATATTTTAGAGTATTTTGAAAAGTTATACTAGAATCTTTACTCAGTCAAATAATTTAAGGAACTTGGCTAATTTTATCATATTTTTCAGAATAGTTTAAAATGCTTTTGAATACTTTAGATAGTTTTCGAATTGAACTTACAGATCCATCCCGAATGAATATGAACAAGATGTTTCTTTTAAGTAAGTAATGTATAATGTTGTTCTGCTGTCTTCGTCAAACACTTATCAATAATCTTACTAATTAGCGCTTCCTAACCTCTAATCTTGATTGAACTTTTAACAAACAACTACAACTCTATTGTTTTCATCAAAAAATAGAGCTCTATTGCTACAATCTGTTCAGTGCGTCCAAGTATACATACATGATTTTTTTTTTTGTATTTCCACAGATGCCAATACATCAAATCTGTTGAAAAAAAAAACTTATTGTTCTAAATTTGTTGTTGTAATAACATAATTAGCAAGCATAAAAAACACGTTGATGTTATGTTGTGTTCCTTGACCGTTGTTTAGTTTTTTTCTCCGTTGATGATATTGTAACTTCAATACGGATTAATGTTCCACCATTACGAATCTAATTATAAATCTTGGCCAAACTCATAAACCATAAGCACGATCTCAATTTCATAACAGTCTATTTACACTTACTTCATCTTGGATGCCACAGTGAAATTATCAGTAATCATTCTAGAATCTATTGAAATTTCCTAGGCAATTATCTGAAAGTTGCTAAAATTTTCAAAGAAACTTTACATGAATATAGTGAATTTGACCGAAATTTGAAAACCTAAGTTGAGTCCCATTGGCCATTATGGTCTATAATAATAACCTAGTGTATTTGTAAGAAAAAGTTCATTTTACATAGTTGTAATAACTATTTTAGCTTCTTTTTCACCATAAAACTGATTTGCTAATTTTGATTCAAAGTAAACTTAAGTAACCGCAGTCACACATGGACAAAAAAAACAAATGGTCATCGTCTTTTCCGAGGGGCGATGGCCAATTGCCATAAGAGGAAAAGTCAACGAAGGCAAGCTTACATGCCAACGCGTAATGTTTTTAACGGTTTAGCCGCACTCGCCAGCTGGTAGTTAAGCGTCAGCGTTTTGCCTTTTTGCCTTACTACTGTTATTTTTGGGTCAACTTCGTCACTGGTGTATGGGTGTGCACAATAGTATAAACTAATAGTCACTATTAAAATAGCTCTATAGAAACCAAATTCTTCTAGAGTTGGTCGACCCTTGTCAATTAGGCAAACTCAGTTTTTTAATTTGGAAAAAAACCGACGCTGCATTGGACAAACTATAAATGGAACTTCTAATAGCACAAGAGCCTAATAACAATTTTCACGTGTTGATCAGACTTACCGGAGAGGTATTAGCGCAGCAGAACCTGAAGCATTTGCCGAATGTGGGAGCCATTAAGTGTTCTCTTCCTGCTTCACCAAGCGATCTGTTCAAATACGTATTGCCTATATTATTTATTTATTTGAATATTTTAGAGATAATGTTGTCCAAAGAAACAAGAACTATTCAGAGATAACGTCCCATTGTATTATTGACTACATTATTGATCACTCATCACGTCGGAACTCATTTTTTTTATTTCACAACAGACTTATTATATGTTACTATATTTGAATTAAAAGCATGCCATAGCCCAATCTCGAATATAATAACAGGTAGATGGTCCATAACTGGAATGGTTCTCGTCTCTTCACTCTTTTTATATATAATGTATACACAGTTGCAAGCTTTTTCTTGGCTTAACCTGCTAAAAATAAGCAAGCTGACGTTTTATTATACTATTTTCGTTTCCATGGAAATTACAATCCACATTGGGGAAACAAATGGCCAGCTAGCTATTGAGAGATCTAACTCTAACAAACATCATTTATAGACGTTATATATGTGTGTGTGTGTGATGAAATAGTTTTCTTATAGTATGTTTTTAATTGAGTTGATAAACGCTAAAAATAAGGTGATAAGAACTAGAGGAAGAAATAATATACCAAAGGGTTAGGAATGTATGAGGATTGAGGACTTGGTATTGATCTTTGTTGGCCAGTTGATAGCTCCTCGAAAACATCTACGGGCGATGATGATAATGCAGAAAATTTTGGGAACTGAACTAAAAATTCCGCAAAAAGAAAACGAAATTTATATATTTTTATTTGGATATGGGTTTGTATTTCGAAGTTTTAAGGAATAATGACGACCGTTCGAGCAATGTAGGGGCTTCTTTACGGGATAGAGAAAGCGAAAGTTGAGTGAAGCAGAGCTTCTTCTTCCATTATTTATTAGGTTTTATTTATCTAGTAAAAGTCACAACTAAATATTTTAGGTTTTTATAGTATGTGAATAACAATGTTTTAATGTCAGTCTTACAAGTTTCACCTATGATAAATTTTGAGTTATTATTACTTTTGTAACGTCAATAAATTGTTATTTAAGACATACCAATATCCTAACGAATAGCGACAGATTAATGTTCTCACTAGCTGATTACAAACACATAATCTTTTTAACATTTGATTTTCCTTCAGTTTAATTTTTAAAGTTTTGTGATAATATCACATAATGGGTTGAGCTTAGTCTAAAGACATCGCAGATTGGGCCTAAGAAAGTGGTCAATTTCTTGGCTTGATGAGTCCACACTACAACAAATATAAACTATCAATTTCTTAGTGATGTTTGACACTTGACAGCCACGAAGTGTTACATTTTGTACACAACAATATTTAACCAAAAGCATCTGCTTCTACTATTGGGCCTATTAAATGGGCCACTAAACATATAGTTTTTGGAGTGTTGGTACAAAAAAAAAAAGAGTTTGGAGTGTTTACTGTTTAGTGAGTTAGCGTGATGTGTTGTCACTATCAATCAATAAATCTGTTTGTACTTAAAAGATCTTTGAACATTAAGCTATTATCCGTAACCGGAATGTAATACGCATATACGTGATTGAAATTTGAAAATAACCTTTTTTCTTACAAAAAGAAGGCTATTATTACAGTATTAAGACAAGGGTTAGATTTTAAACTATATACGAAAATCAAACTTCTGTCCGAAAGAGAATCAGTAAGGATGAACATTCCTTGTAAGACCATTGACATTAGTAAAGAACCCAACATGTTTGTACGGAAGATACGACCTCCGTTTCCCTTCTTCCCTTATCGCTCTGTGCCTCATGTACAACCTCTCGTGCGCCGACTTCGTTTTCATCTTCTTCTCCGCTCTCTTCACCACGCCGCCGCTCGGTTTCTTCTGCGACGACGACGAAGAAGAAGAACCGTTGCTGAGAAACACAAACGCGTCTTTACCGTCGCTCTTGCTCCTCGAGACAAGATCTCTAAACCTCCAAAGCTTCGAGAATCCCGTCGAGTTGCTTTTCCGACAAGTCTTCGGCGAAGCAGCTTCCTCCACGGTTCTGCCTGACCACGAGCAGTAAGGACCGATCGGTTCGGAGTCTTCTTCCTCTGTTTCGACGAAGACTTTCTTGAGAGGAGAAGGGAGAGATTGTTTAGTTTCCGGTTCGAAGAGGAGATTCCGGTTAAAGAAAGGGTAAACCGGTCGGATCTGACCGTCTTTGAAAGCTTCTTCTGCTGTTATCGGTGAGTTTTCTCCGTTAACACTCGCGAAAGAGAACTCTTCGTCAGATTCTTCTTCTTGCTTCTCTGTGGGATCGAGTTTGAGTTTGGAGGTGAAGTCGTCGTTTAGTTTCCCGTAAAGCTCGGCGAATCTTTCTTTTCCGACGAACCTCGCCGCCGGAGATGAAGGAGAGACAACTTGCATCTTCTTTTTATGAGCAAAACAGATACAACACACAAAACTTCTCTTTTTTTTCTATGAGGAAACAAAAAAAAATCTGAAATAGAAAGAGAGAGAGAGAGAGAGAGTATTGTTTGATAAAAATAGAGGTACGTAGAACCTTTGCTCTCTCTTTTTATATATGGCTGGATATTTTAAGATCTCTCCTATTTTTATTTTCCTATTTTTATTTGTTTCTGATGATAAACTTTAAATAAACTTGTATAAAACTTTAAAATAAGAGCCAAATATCTTCGTTTGAACTTGATGTGATGGTTACACTATGCATTACTGAAATTAATTTGTTTTCGTTAGCTATCTGATAAAACAAATATAAAATAAGTCAACATGGTATTTTTTTTTTGTGTTGACTGGATTTGGATTCTAGAACAGATAAAAGTCAAACGTCATCTTAGAATAGACTTTGAATACATGGTTACTCTTGATCCAATTTAGAAAAGTCATGAATAGTTCACCCCAAAAACCATGAATACAACTAATTTTTTTTTTTTAAATCAACTAGTTAATCCCTTAATAAAAAAAACACAAGACCTAAATCATAAATGTATGGCAGTTCTGTTATTGGTTTTTAGCTACAAAAATCTCAACAGTTTCAAAAGACTTTAATTCCTCTAATCAAATCACAAAATATGTATTACAAAACCATTTCACCAATTGACCAAATAAAACCAAAAAGAATGTAAAAGCGCGTGATAGGAAAGGAATGTGAATAGAAGAAGGTGACTATGGAATGGGGTAAATTTACAGAAACGCTTGTTCGAGAAGCAAGACAAGACTTGTTCATTGGCCCTGACATGTTTCTTGATGTGGAATGACCTTTCTTGTAGATAAACAAACGATAATTGTCGAGAACCTCACTTTGGTTTTCTTGTGTTGAGGGCAGGTTCGCATTTGGTGACTATTCAGCTCGGTCATGGACTTAAGGTTTAAAAGTTTGATAGTGAAGTTTACAACTTTATAATACGTTTCTAGTTTCTCAAATTCGTTTTAGATATTATTCTTGTTCATATATGTTTAGTTTTATGATATTTTGTATGCTTAGGATATTCGGTCGGTCCCCTGGCTTTGTCGGGTTCTAAGAAAGTTGCGATAATACATGTGGTATATGAATATCTATTCCTCTCCAAAATGTACAATACATCACTTTCTTTTTTCATATTTTTTAAAAATAATATTATTGGATATTTAAAAGGAAACTTTGTTTTCTCATAAAACGAAGAACAAGAATTTATCTCACTTATTTTTATCGTATAGAAAACTTTTATTTAATTTGGTTGAATTAGGTCTGACCCAAGTCGGTCCGACTTTCAAATACTATCTTTCGATCATGTTATACATGTGTTGTGTCATTAAGTATCCACGTACGAACAAACGAAGAGTTATGAGAATGAAGTGGCAAGTGTTAGGCTGTGTATCGTTCCATTTATTGTGTGGTTTAAATGAAAATTGGTCGCTGTTGGCTCGGTGGCTCACCAACACAGACGCGATCACCATACTAGTATATTAAAAACATAAACAAATGAATATAGTATTTTGTGTTTAAAAAGAAAATGAATAATAGACACACATTGTCGCCGGAATAAGTGTTTTGGAATCGGTTAAGAGGCACATTTTCAGGCAATATGTGATAATTCAAAAACATTAATTCGTATCTCTTATGAACCATAAGAACAATTTTCATCTCTCTATTTTGGGGTATCATCAATAACTGAAGTAAATTAATTTCACCGCGTGACGCGATAAGAGAGTTTCACATAAGTGAACAAACGAGTATGATTACTTAGCGCAATTAAGCAAGAAACTTATAAAAATTATTTACTTTATAAATCTAATAATGTATATATAGTCTAGTTTACAAGTATGTACGTCTTGCATTCATATTAATAAACGGGAAAATAGTTGACAAACATAAGAATACTCAAAAGTTTCTTTAAATGAAGAGTTGGAGAAAGTTCTCAATTATGGAGGAGAACGTTTGAGTTCAGATTTAGAAAGTATTACTTAATGATCGAGAAGATAGGTAGAATGTGGACGTTGGGGATATAATGTCAAAATCATCTGCATCAAACACCGAAACTATAACGCGTTTATTGTGGTCTCAAGTAATGATGCTAAATTGCTGATAATCTATATCTACACAACAAATGAATTTGTGTATATTAAATTACTTGTCAAAGTTTTTAAGTTCAACTAATCATAATTTTCTTGTAGGAGCTTCGATCAGATCCTTATTAAAATGGGTTGATTAGTTCGTAGATATCAAGCCATAAAACATACTCCCTCCGCTCCTAAAAGATCCATGTTCTGGAAAAATATTTTGTTTTAAAAAGATGTATATTTTATGTTTTTTATGGAAAAATTACAAGTTTCAAAAAAATTAATTGGTTTTATCAGATTACTATTGGCTAAAAATTGTTGAAAATTAAAAATTACTGAAAACGATAGTGATTTAATGTGTTTTCTTAATATGTATAAAAACACTAGAAAGTCTATCTTTTAAGAAGAGAGGGAGTATCATTTTCTTGAATAGCCCTTATATCTTACTTAATTAAATGGTAATACATCATCATATTACTAACTTTACTGCTAATCTTATCTGAAATTAAAATGTCTAATCGAGAAAAGCTGTGTCCCACTCATGTGCTTTTAATAAAGTCCATAACCCGACAGACAGATCGTGTACAATAATATGTTTTGTATGCATTTGGTTGAACTGAAACAATAAATCACTTTCGTACCCAGAACCGCCGCAAAAGCTAACATGTTTTCGGCCAAATGTTTAAAGACCTTTTGGAATTTTTCTTTACGGTGTTGTTCGTCGCATTTGTGCTGCCCGTTGTTTTGCTGACGAGAGACCACAAATATTCTACCGGAACAATTTATTTTCTTAGACTTTGACACTTAATTAATTGACATCTTATTAGCTTAAAAGAAGTTAAGAGATTGTTGACTTTGTTATGTCAACAAAAATCTGGCAAACTTCACTTTTAAGGATAGTTTACTCTCCACTAAGGAAGAGTGTTCAAAAAGAAAGACATCAAAGTCTACATAACTAAAAAAACTGCAACTACAGAATCTCAATAGGTTTGAAATATATATGAGGTTTTGAAGTAAATGAGATAGATATAAGGCTCAAAGAGCTTACATGATAATTGACGAAGACACCTTTGAGATTCCCGTAGCTCATAATCATATATGATACTTGTATCATACTATTTTTCCTCTGCTATGAAATATGTGATTTGATTTTGATTATGTGATGTAGTTACTTAATACATGTCCAGACTCTAGAGGGAGCATTCACCAAACTTTCCACCAAGTACATTGTTTTAAACGGTTGAGTTTTAACGCTGTACCTTGTTGAAATTAGTCATAGATACCCAACAGGTATCTAGTACTTGCACACAAAATAATGTTCAAAGCCTTCTAATGGATAAAGATGTCAAAATGAAGGTCGCTAACTTTGGCTCTCTTAGCAGATAGCTGCACTCCAGTTTTGAGACACATGAATGAAACTCGAGTTTTTTTTTTTCTCAAATTGAATTTCATTAACTTCTTGCCCAAAGCAAGACAAAGAAAACATACAACTACAACCAACAACTACTCGAGCACTCTTTAACTCTGATCCTAACAAAGATCTCAAGATTACAGGTCACACTATTCAGACAACACAACAGAATGAAGAGGAAGCTTAGAGGGACCGACTTTCATTGACAAAGAACTTGAATAACCAATCAGGATGGCCAAGCGCCACATATGATTGACTCGAGTTTTCTATCTTGCGTTTGTTTTTAGGAGTTTTGGACAATTTAATTTTAAAAATCATTTGTATTATTAAAAACAAATTTAAAATCAGTGTATTATATATTGTTGACAAAAATAATCAGTGTATTTTTTTTATCATGTTTTAATTAGTTATATTATTGCTGGTGCTTTCAATAACCAACATGATTTTTGTTTCATAAAAATTTCCTTTCGATATAATAATTTCTACTAAAAGAGTTTAGCTTCAGTAATATAGGGAATCAGATTACAGTGTCAAATAAAAAGAAATTCTATATATATATATATATATATTTTTTTTTTAAATATGCTTCTTTTTCTCTTTGTTTCTTCTTCACAGGTTGCATATACACTCTTTGACTACCATCCTCATAAATAGATCATAATATAGACTAGTACTCTAGTAGAAAACAAATCTCCTCCTTGTGAAACTGGTAAAACAAGCAACGTCTTTAGGTTTGTATAAAGTTACACAAAACAAAATCTTTCCAACAAAAGAGGTAAGAAAATAAAGTATCGACGATCTATTTCTCCACAAGAAGTATCATATAGCACCAAATTTCCATGGAACTATTATCCCGTTCTATTTCTTTCCAAGAATAAAGTTCGCAACCTATTTTCCCACCAAATTTGGTTTATTTATGATTTCTGAAAACGGAATTTCAAATCTCTACTCTCATGTAATAAAACCAAACAAAACTAAACCAATACAAAAATAAAAATCCTACCAAACCCTGATCTAGATCAGAACAGTAACCCGATCCAACCTTCGATATCCGACTGATTGAATCTTAATCCGATTAGTCATTAGTTTAACATGATCTAAGATTTGTTTATAAACAGTAAACCAATAAAATTGATTTTTTGAGTTTTTAGATTTTGATCTTTACAATTGTGGGGAAATATCGATATAGTTTTAATTTGGTAGGGAAATAGGTTGCAAACTTTATTCTCAAGGTTAAATATAACAGGATCATAGTTACGTAAACATTTGGTGTTATATGATACTTATAGTGGGGAAATAGATCGTCGACCCGAAAATAAAATACTATACTTTTGAAAAGGTCAACTGAACACTGTAATAGTAACCCATTTTTTTCCCAACGAAATGTATTTTACCTTTAATATTTTCAGTGTGTCACAGGAAAAATCAATCTTTAATTTTTTTTAGCTATTTTAGTAATATAGTTGAGCCCAAATGGGTATTTATTTAATAATTTCCTCAAAAAGATAATATTAAAAATGGCAAAAAAAACACAAGAGAACTAAAAGAGAGGATCCAATTGAAAATCGGATTAGATTTTTACTAAATAAAGCCTTTGCCTCCTCAAAAATCACGAAAAAGAAGCAAACTTTGAATGGATCCTTAACGAACTTCATCATCATTACACTCCCAAAGGGTTCATCACAAGACCCTCTTCGTCTTAACAACAACCCAGGTTCCATTTTCTGTCTCTCTACATTTGCTTAGAACTTGTCAGAAAACAAGAAAGGCTTTATCCTTTACATGAAAACTAGACAATGGCTGGTTCATCAACAAAGAGGTTTCCTCTCTACGCTAAGGACTATGAGCTCTTTGAAGAGGTGGGAGAAGGTGTAAGCGCTTCTGTCTACAGAGCTAAGTGCATTGCTTTAAACGAGAATGTTGCCATTAAGATCATGGATCTTGAGAAATGCAGAAATGATTTGGTAAAAAAAAAAGAAATATTACATTTTTTATTAATTTAAGAAGATAACAAAAATTTAATATATTTTTTATTGCAGGACACAATACGGAAGGAAGTTCACATAATGAGTTTGATTGAACATCCAAATCTGTTGAAAGCGCATTGCTCTTTCATAGACCGTAACACGTTGTGGATTGTGATGCCTTATATGTCTGGTGGCTCTTGCTTTCATTTGATGAAAACTGTTTATCCTGAAGGCTTTGAGCAACCTATTATTGCTACTTTGTTGAGAGAAGTGCTTAAAGCTCTTGTTTATCTTCATAGACAAGGACACATCCATAGAGATGTTAAGGTAAGTCACTTTATAAATAAAACTCCTAAACCGTACACTCAGGGCCGGTCCTGAAATTTTGGAGTCCGTAAACGTTTTAATAAAGATTTCAATAATTATAATTATTATTTTTTAATAATTTGCGGGCTATAGGCCAATGTTTCACTGGGCTATGCCTTGTGTACACTAATATTAGTTTTGCTATCTAAATGTTTTGTTATAGGCTGGGAACATACTGGTTCACTCGAGAGGTGTGGTTAAACTTGGAGACTTTGGAGTTTCAGCGTGCATGTTTGATAGTGGTGAAAGGATGCGTACAAGGAACACATTCGTTGGAACTCCTTGCTGGTTTGTGCTTAAGTTCTCTTACAATAAGTTTTGTCAAGTTTATTATTTACTTTTTTTTGCTATGTGTCTTAAAGGATGGCACCTGAAGTTATGCAGCAAGTAGACGGTTATGATTTCAAGTATGTTTTTGCATCTTTCTAATCTATCTGCATAGCAATTACAAGCGTTGGCTTATTGATTTTGCTTGTCATAACAGAGCGGATATCTGGTCTTTTGGTATAACTGCACTAGAGCTAGCTCATGGTCATGCCCCATTCTCAAAATATCCACCTATGAAGGTGAGTCCTTACTCTATAAAGCTTGTGTGTTGGTGCTGTTTACTTCAAGCCAACTTCTATTTCAGGTGCTGTTAATGACCTTACAGAATGCTCCTCCTCGCCTTGACTATGAAAGAGATAAGAAGTTCTCAAAGGTAAGTGAGATTTAAACAATGTGCATTATACAAAAGTAGATTTCAATTTTCTTTTACTGAGTTAAGAAGTGTCTTTGTTGGCAGTCGTTTAGAGAGTTAATCTCCGCCTGTTTAGTTAAAGATCCAAAGAAGCGTCCAACGTCAGCTAAACTTCTGAAACACCCTTTCTTCAAACATGCTCGGTCTACAGATTATCTCTCCCGTAAAATTCTTAATGGTCTTTGTCCACTTGGTGAACGTTTTAAAAAGCTAAAGGTAAGTTGATTAGTACTTATAATCTTCATTTCCTTGTTATATGTTTATGTTAATGTGATTGAAGCTGTTGCAACATCTCTTTATAGGAAGCAGAGGCAGAGTTGTTTAAAGGCATAACTGGTGACAAAGAACAGTTATCTCAGGTATATAATCTAATAATGTTGGGATGCTCATTTATTCAATTTAGAATCTTATAATTTTTTTGCTTATAGCATGAGTATATGCGAGGGATTAGTGCTTGGAACTTTGATCTACAAGAATTGAGGAAGCAGGCATCACTTGTAAGTAAGGTCATGTCTTAAAAGAGTAGTAAAAGTAAAACTTGGTCTCTTTCACCCTCTCAATAACTTTCTGTATTCTGCTATATCAGAATCCAGATAATGAAATGTGCAGTTCAGAGACTCAGGATGCTGGACTTGATGTACCAAAAAGAAACCCAATGATACAAAGATCAAGGACTATGTCTTTGGAGATGTTCAAAATCTCAGACAAGGCTAGTAGTGTCTTTGCTTCCTTCTATGAACTCATTTGTATATGTGTGTGCCTATTCTAAACCTTTTGCTCAACTTTTCAGGATTTGATGAGTGCGAGTAACAGTCTAACAATAGGTCCATTACTTCCTTCATTTCGTCGCAAGTTCCTCCCTGCTATTGGGTACTTTTACAACATTTATCTCCTGAATGTGGACTCCTGCATTGCTTTGCTATGAGTGTTTTATTGAAGTAAACAAATTGGACGCAGATATAAAGTTGGCATCCTTTCTGATGAAAGCAAATCATGTCGCCAAAGAGCTGTAGAGGCACTCGCTCTTGAAGAGCCAAATCAACTAGAAGCATTAGCAGTGGATACCAAGGAGACACCTGCTCTTGAAGAGCTACATCAACTAGAACCATTAGCAGATACCAAGCAAGCTCTTGAAGAGCCACATCAAGTAGAACCAGTAGCGGAGAAACCAAAAAATGGCTGCACAGTTAGTACTGTGAACAGCGCGTCTTGCACAGCAAATGAAATCCTCCCACTGTTACAGAGTCTCCTGGTACAGAATGACATTCAGAGGGTGTGTGGCCTTTATATATCAAAATGCTTCTTGTAGATATTACTCTCTTAAATGGTTTATTTGGAGTTTAACTTGTGAGTCTTCACATGATATTTGCAGGAGAAAGTAGTCAGATTAATTAGATTCTTTGATCCAACTGCTGGTAATGTCTCTCATCTCAATGTTTTTTTTCTGTTTTTGTCTTTTGACTAATGACTTTTTATGACCTTTGGTGTTTTTACTTGTGCAGAAACGCAAAATCCAGTATCGAAAAACGAAGGAGTACAGGTATGTATGTGCATGTGACTTATTTAGATGTCCTAGAGTAGTTGGTAATGACAAAACTAAAGAGCATGAAAATACTTTGCAGATATATCCATCAAGGGAGAGAGAACTACAATCTCAAGTTAAGTTCTTGGAGCAAAGGTAATTACACAACTTCTTCTTTTTCTTTTCTGTTTGTGTTGGATTAAGATTTGATTAGTAAGTTGAGAGATAAGGTATGTTTTATGAGTTTTCAGTGTTGAGATACTTGTAGAGGAAGTGAAGAGAAGGAAAGAAATAAATGATCAGGTATAAATGATTAATAACAAATCTTTGCAAAAATGATATTTTAGTTTCATATAGTTATATGAAACTAAAATATTGTTGTGTTTTGCAGCTAGGAAGACAGATCAGATCTCTAACTAGTAGCAGCAGGAGGAGCAACAGCAGATCAGGAGGTTAATAATAAACCAACTCTTTTTGTCTCTTCCAAGAGAAGGAGGAAGACTATTCTTTTTGTGTATTCAGTATTTATCATAATTACGTAGAATAATCACACTTTTATTCTACAAAATAAATTTAACTAGGTTTAATTTTCACAAACCTTGTTGATGTATGTAGATAGACCCTTCCCAAAGAATAAAATGTAAGACCTTGCTTCACAAGACAACATTTAACATTTTGATATTGATGTGTAAAATACCAATTGGTAAAAGCAGACTTGTTTAGCATAATAATAGGGGCAATTCTCTTAAATAGCCTTCTTTTAAGTTTTTATCACAAAAATAGATCTTAAAAATTAAAATGACTAAAATAGTACTTTTTATTTTAAAATTTTTCAGTTTTTTTTTTTAAAAAAAATTTGAAACCCTATCCTCAAAACCCACTTCTCAACTCTAAACAAAAAAAAGTCTAAGATTAGTTAATCCAAGGGTAAAATGTATATTTAATAAAACATTTACGTACAATTTTGGTCATTTTAATTGTTAAGGTATATATTTGTGACAAAAAAAATTTTAGGTTTATTCTAGTCATTTTTCTATAAAAAAAACTGTATATGTTGTTTGATGATCTCTCTATGATTCAATGAGTGAGTAATCTATGTGATTTTTATCTATGTGATTATTTAAAAGAATTGCCATATTAGAGAAAATGATTAGAATAGACCTAAAAAAGTTTTTGTCACAAATATAGACTTTAACAATTAAAATGACCAAAATAACAATTAAATGTTTTATTAAATATACATTTTATTCCTTGAGTTAGCTAATCCTAGATTTTTTTGTTTAGAGTTGAGGAGTGGGTTTTGGGGATAAGGTTTCAAATTTTAAAAAATTAAAAAAAATTCAAAATAAAAAGTGCTATTTTGTTTATTTTAATTTTTGAGGTCTATTTTTGTGATAAAAATTTAAAAGAGGGTTATTTATGAGAATTGCTTTTTTAATTATTATTTGAAATGGAGAAAGATTAGGCCCATAAAGTAATGGGCTTTTTAAGAAAGCTCGCAAAAACACACGTCAGCTCTTCGTCTCTTCTAATAATCCGACGTGGCAAGAACTAAAACGAGTAACCGGGTCGGGTTGGAGAAGATAGAAAAATAAAATAAAAGAAACCATTAAAATTGCGCGGTAACCCGGATAAGAAGGAGAGAGAGGCGTAGATTTGGAGGGTCAAACGGTAGACAACGTGCATGCAACTCTCACTCAATCACTAAAAATTTCAAATGCAAAAAAAAAAAAGAAAGATCATGGAGACCTCTTATAGTTATCCTCATCATCTCTTTCATTTTTCTTTTCTTTTTTATTATTATTTTCCCTGGAAAACAAAACCAGGGCACATAGAGAAAGAGAGAAAGAGAGAGAGGATCTCCACTATTGTTTCTTTCTTACATTTGACATTGTCAGATTAAACGTCTGTAATAATGGAATGCATTTCTCCTCTCTCTCTACCTTTTATAATCTCTGACTTATAGTAATTATAATTTTTTTTTTCTTCAATTTGTTACCACTTTGATAGTTTCATTAGGCACTTTCTGGTGGGGTTTTAGGCATTTGAGTTTTGTTTCTTGGGGAAGAATCTGATTCAGAAAACAATGTCTGACTCACCGACTTCTTCCCCACCAGCACCACCCGCCGACTCCGGTCCTCCGCCGGATAACTCCACCGGAGATTCTTCTCCTCCACCTACGGATTCCGCTCCTCCTCCTTCTCCACCGGCTGATTCATCACCGCCGCCGAGTCTCCCACCTCCACCGCCGGCGACTCCTCCGCCGGAATCCGATCCTCCGCCGGCTGATTCTCCGCCCCCTCCTTCCCCGGATGCTCCACCACCAGCTGATCTCCCTCCGGTAGACTCCGGTTCACCACCACCGGAGCCAGCAAACTCTCCTCCTCCTCCGTCTGAGGAATTTGAATCACCGCCGCCGCCTCCGCCTCCGCCGGAGAATGAAGACAACACCTCTCCTCCTCCGCCTCCTGATCCGGCGACTCCACCAAAGGGAGAACCAAAAAAACCGAAAAAGTCACCACCACCACCACCACCATCAGCACAAACCACATCTCCTCCGGCTCCTCCAAAAGCGCCGTCACCACCGGTTAACGCGTCCCAACCACTACCACCCAAGTCTACCTCCCGCGGCGTCCCTAGCTTCCCTCCACCTCCTCCAGCCAGTAACGACGGTGGCTATGAAGGCAAGACAATGGCCGGAATGGCGGTAGCCGGATTGGCACTCCTGGCCTTGATCGCCGTCGTGTTCTTAGTCAGAAGAAAGAAAAAGAAAAACGTAGATGTATACGATGACTCTCAATACTTGCCTCCTTCTAACTTCTCCATCAAGTCAGGTTTAAACAAAGATCTTCTGTCTTCTGTCTTAAACAAAAAAAAACATTTTAAAATCATTGTACGGTCAGATCTTGATTCCTGTTCTGTCTGAAAAAAAAATACAAATATTAACACCTTTTTTTTGTTAAATCATGTAGATGGATTTTTATACGGACAGAATACGACAAAAGGAGGAGGTGGTTACCCTACAAAACAACAATCCAATAACAGCTTTGGAGGTTATACACAATCAGGGAGTACACCTGATTCAGCAGTGATGGGAAGTGGTCAGACGCATTTCAGTTACGAAGAGCTTATGGAGATAACGCAAGGATTCTCTAAGCAAAACATTCTCGGAGAAGGTGGGTTCGGGTGTGTTTACAAAGGTAAACTACATGATGGGAAGCTAGTTGCTGTGAAACAGCTTAAGGTTGGGAGTGGACAAGGTGACCGTGAGTTTAAAGCGGAGGTTGAGATTATTAGCCGTGTTCATCATCGTCATTTGGTTTCTTTGGTTGGTTATTGTATTTCGGATGTTCAGAGGTTGCTTATTTATGAGTATGTTCCGAATCAAACGTTGGAGCATCATTTGCATGGTGAGATTCATTTACCACTTTATGTGTTTTTGTTTTTTTTACTTAGATGGGTTGTGTTTTTTTTTGGATAGGGAAGGGAAGACCAGTCCTGGAATGGACTAGGAGAGTCCGAATCGCTATAGGTTCTGCCAAAGGTTTGGCGTATTTGCATGAAGATTGTAAGTCTTTTTTATACGTGTGGAAGCAATGCTTAAAAGTACAATGGGAAACTGAATGTGTCTCTATGTTTTGTTTTGTAGGTCACCCAAAGATCATCCACAGGGACATAAAGTCTGCAAACATTCTGCTGGACGATGAGTTTGAAGCTCAGGTAATAAAAGACAATCATCTTTGTTTGCAACACTTGTGTTTTAGTTGATGAAACTTTTATTTGTTCTTCTTTTTTGGTTTTTTGGTGTTTAGGTTGCTGACTTTGGGCTTGCTAAACTTAGTGATTCAACACAAACCCATGTATCAACTCGTGTTATGGGAACCTTTGGGTAAGCATTTGAGACGTATAGAGAGATGTTAGGAGGCTGACATGTTGAAAAGTACATAAGCATTGGTTTTGTGTGTTTCAGGTACTTGGCACCAGAATATGCACAAAGTGGGAAACTGACAGATAGATCAGATGTTTTCTCGTTTGGGGTTGTTCTCTTAGAACTTATAACTGGACGCAGACCAGTTGATCAGTACATGCCTTTAGGAGAAGAGAGTTTGGTCGAATGGGTAAGTAAAATACTAATCTTCAAACATTTATGTCTTGTTATCTCAAGTCTCAACATTATCCAGTTACAGTTATATGGTTTGTGTGGCTCTAGTTACTCATAATCCATAAAACTCACAGGCTCGTCCACTGCTTCATAAAGCCATTGACACCGGTGATTTCAGTGACCTGGTTGATAGACGGCTCGAAAATAATTACGTGGAGAATGAAGTTTTCAGAATGATTGAAACAGCTGCTGCATGTGTTAGACATTCTGGTCCAAAACGTCCACGCATGGCTCAGGTAACTTTCTTATAACTCTATCTGTAAAGCTCCTTATGAATGAGTAAGCTTTCTTTATGTGCCTATGACTTTTTTATTAGTTAATTCGTTCCTTTCATAATAAGTGTCATTCTGTTTAATCGATATTTAATATTTTTTTTATTGGATTTTGTTAATTAATAAACTAAAAAGGGTAAAAACTGAAAATTTTATTTAGTATGTGCGTTAAAAATGTAAAACTATTGTTAACAATTCTCATGTTTTAGTTGGTCAAATTTAAAAACTAATATTCTCAAACAAAATTTTGGTTGAAATAAGGTTGTGAGAGCACTGGACAGTGAAGGGGACATGGGAGACATAAGCAACGGATACAAAGTGGGACAAAACAGTAGTGCTTATGACTCAGACGACAGGAAAATGGCGTTTGGTTTTGACGATAGTTCAGATTCAGGAATGCACAGTGGAGACTACTCTGTTCAAAGCTCCCGGAAAGGATCCAATGGAGCCTCTACTGAGTTCACATCTGAGAACCGAAAGTTCAATAACCGGCGGTTCTGATTCAAATACAAGTGAAGTTATTATAATAACCTCATGTTTGAGCTCCCTGTACAGCATTAATGCTCTTTGTTTTTTTTTTTTTTGTGTGAGATACATTTTCTTGCATAGTTAACTTTAGTTTTGCTTTTTTTTGTTTCTCTGTGTTTGGTTTCAGATTTCTTCTCGAGTGTGATGAGGATAAAGAAGAACTCTATTTTCAGATATGTAACAAGCTTGTAATATTACTTGTCATCTATCTTTTTTTTTTTTCATATATAACTTGTTCCAAAGTTCCATACCCATATGAAACAAAACCAATAGACCCAAAATAAGAAACACGACAAGCATAAATAAAAAAAAGAAAACGTTATAGTTAAACAAGCTTGAATAAATCTCTTGTCTTATTTAGTTCATTGTCCTAACCGGTTACTTGGACCTTACGCCATGTTTTGTAACAGAAGTTGGTCCTTTCTTTCCACCTCCTCCTCCTTTCTTGTTATCAAACCCAAACTCAATATCTCCTCCGTTTCGACCAGAGGGTTTGTTGTTCATTGGACCAGGACGCTTTATATCGAACCCAAACTCCAAATCATCACCTCTCTGTCTCGGCTCACGCTCCACAGGTCTAATCTCACGGTTCTTCTTTGAAGACGGTTTCTCATGCTTTGAAGGTTTGTTGTTGTTTTTGGGGTCTTTGCGGCCCCGGTTGCATAGCCTTCCGAACACACAAGCTAGCGCTGCCAAGACAAGGATGGCTGCTAGAACTATGAAGGCTGTACCGAATGAGCCGCTTGAATGAGAGGACGAGGGCGGTGCATATGAGGAAGATGATGATGAAGAAGATGGATACACAATAAGAGGTTGCTGAAACTGTTGTTGTTGTTGTTGATCTTCCATTTTTTTGTGGGTTTGGTTTTGATTGTGATTTTAGGAGCTTTGTTTTGTTGAAGAGCACTTCAATTTATGTCATTTCCATCTGAAATGTGGCCAATGTATTAAATAGTACTAGCACTCTTCTCTATGATCATTTTCTATAAATAAATTTTATACAAGACATGGTGTGATTTTTTGAAAATAAAGTTACATATTGCTTGCTTTTGTGGAAATTACAAGTTTGTTTTTTGTGTAACTTTAATTAAAAGAAAAAGATGTGGGTTGGTTTTGTTTGTTTGTTATCAATTATGTGGGGTTTGTGTAAGATATTCACTTTGGAATATTTTCTGATTGCTTTGTAAGAAGAGAAAGTGAGACTTTGGTTAAGTATATTGAGATGAGGCACACAATAAATTGTTTACAATAAAGATGAATGAAAGTTTGATGAGTGGGGATGCTGCTTTCCCAATCATTGACTACTCTATTTACATTCCCATTAATTTATACACCTCCTATATTATTCAGTATCTAATTTTCAGTTCCCTAGTGTTTGTGTATATTTTAATCTTATAAATCTTAATAATTGTAGTATAAAGTTTTCCCTAAATATCAGAGAGAAAACATATTTCATATTTAAATAAAAGTGGGAATATGGATCCACTAGTTTTACATAAAATACTCACTTTAATCATGTAGGTTTAAAGGTAAAAACTGCCGTTTAGGCACAACAAACGACAGCGTTTTGGTGAGAAGCGATTTTGGCGACAACAAAGGTGATCGGTGATTCTCGATCTCAACTGCCACTTCCGGTGGTCGAGATGGATACGAAGGAGGTTCCGGAGGACCCTCCGCCATTGATTGCTCCGGGGAAGAAAACGTGGGTTTCTATGGCGATGGAAAAGCACACTTTGAAGAAATACGAGATTGATACTTCAATCAAAGAGGGGAAAATTTCTGTTGAGGTTCCGATGGAGGTAATAGAAAAATCAAATCCGCTTTGGGAGGATTTTGTGATAGCGAATTTTCTAGAAACTGCTCCGCATATCGCAAAGGTTCATGTTATTGTGAACAAGATCTGGGCTTTTGGTGATAAAAATCAGAAACTTGATGTCTTTGAAATGGATGAGATGACGATGAGAGTTCGAATCCCTAGTGAGAAGGTCAGAGAGAAGGTCATCAGGAGAGGTATGTGGAACATAGCAGGAGTTCCAATGGTGGTGACGAAATGGGCTCCTGAGGGTGATGATTCGATGAAGAGAATGCTTCCTCTTTGGGTACACTTAACAAATATCCCAATGAGTATGTATTCCTGGGAGGGTCTCAGTTTTATGACAAGTTCAGTGGGGGTTCCTGATCATCTACATCCGGAGACTGTAGCGTGTTCTGATTTTAAGGTTGCGAAGGTTTTTGTTAAAGCTGATTTAACCAAGGAGTTGCCCAGGGAAATCACCTACAATATACAAGGAGTGGACACAACAGTGGTCTACACATATCCATGGCTCCCCGCTAGATGCGCAAAGTGTCGTAAATGGGGTCATTACGAGACCTTCTGTGCGTTGAATAAGGAGACTATAATTGATTTAAAGAATGATGAAGGAGAGAAGAGTAGTGAGAAGGAAAAAGATGTTGAAAAGAAAGGTAAGGAGGTAGCACACGAAGTGAAAGATAAGGTTGCTGGAAAGGTTGGAAAAAGCAGTGATGATATTGAGGAGGGACAGCTTAATGACTGGTCAGCTGTATCACAAGAGAAGGCAGGTAGAAGTCACAAACATGAATCCAAGGATCAAGCTATTATTGCCACTCCTTCACGTTATGCAGCGCTAAGTAATAAGGGTGAAAAAGGGGAAGAAATTGATCAGGAGGAAGAGGACGAAAGAGATGTTGAGGAGGAAGATTCTTCTCAAAATATTACAGATGCAGAGAGATTGGAGGATGTTCTGAGTGATAGGAAGAGGGGGAGAGCTAGACAAACGCTCCCAAGGTTGTCTAAAACAAATCACAGAGTAATACAAAATGCTTCAGCTCATATCACCGATATGAAAAGAGGTACGCGGAAGAATCTATAATATGGCTAGTTTCTTTTGGAATGTGAGAGGTTTCAACAAGCAAGCTAAGCAAAAAGTGGTTCGAAGTTGGGTTAGAGATCATTCTATTCTTTTTGGTGGTTTAATTGAAACACGGGTTAGAGAAGGGAAAGCGGATAAGATTGTTGAAGAGGTTTTTGGTGGTTGGAATTTTATGTCTAATTATGAATATAAAAGATTGGGAAGGTTGTGGATAGTTTGGAGATCGACGGTGAGGATGACACCTGTTTTTAAGAGTGACCAGCTTATTACTTGTTTAGTAAAGTTACCAGGGAATCAGGAGGAGTTTCTCTGTTCTTTTATATATGCTCATAATATGATGGAAGAGAGGAAGGTCTTATGGGAGGATTTGAGACATCATTATGATGCGCCGATGTTTAAGAGTAGGAAATGGATGTTGATTGGGGACTATAATGAAATTTTGGAGGGTGAGGAACATTCGAGTTTTGTTACTACTCCTCGAATTCCATTGGGAATGAGAGACTTTCAAGAGGTGACGAGATATTGCAGGCTTACAGATATGAGCTCTCAAGGTCCGCGTTTTACTTGGTGTAATAAACGGGAGGAAGGGTTAATTTGTAAGAAGTTAGATAGAGTGTTAATTAATGAAGCTTGGATGCATAGTTGGTCTACTTACTGTGTGTTTGAGGCGGGGGGTTGTTCTGACCATCTGAGATGTATAATCCAGCTTGATATAGAGGAGAAGAAGAAAAGAAAGCCGTTTAAGTTTACTAATATTATTGCCAAAATGCCAGAGTTTAAGCCTTTACTTGCGAATTACTGGAGGGAGTATGTGAAGTTACATCATTCAACTTCTGCAATGTTTCGTCTTACAAAGCAGTTGAAGAATCTGAAACAACCGTTACGTAATCTTAGTAAGATGAAGCTTAGTGATATTTCAAGAAGAACGAGGGATGCTTATCTGACTTTGTGTTTGAAGCAGAAAGAGAACTTGGAAAATCCAACTACGGATGCTATGAGAGTTGAGAATGATGCTCATACAAAATGGCAGAGACTTGCAGAGATAGAAGAAGAGTTTCTCAAGCAATGTTCCAAGGTTCACTGGCTGGAAGTGGGGGATGGCAATAATAGATTCTTTCACAACTCAGCAAAGCTTAGAGAAATCAGGAATGCAATTCATGAAATCCAAAGAGCTGATGGATCATTGGCAAAGTCGGATGATGAGATAAAGGTGGAAGCAGAAAAATTTTTCGCGGACTTTATGACAAAGGTTCCTGCTGATTTTGAGGGTGTCACAATGGATATTCTTCATGATCTTTTGAGTTTCAAGTGCAGTGAAGAAGATGGTATCAAGCTTGAGAGAGAAGTAACTGCTGAAGAGATAAGAGAGGTTATTTTCAAGATGCCTGGAAATAAATCTCCTGGTCCCGATGGTTACACTGCAGAGTTTTTCAGAGATACTTGGGATATTATTGGTGAAGATGTTGTGGTGGCAATTCAATCCTTTTTTATTAAAGGTTTTTTGCCAAAGGGAGTGAATTCGACTATTCTTGCTCTTATTCCTAAGAAGGAGGAAGCTAGAATGATGAGGGATTATCGCCCTATCTCCTGTTGCAATGTGCTTTATAAAGCCATTTCCAAGATCATTGCAAACAGATTAAAAGGTATTCTTCCCAAATGTATAACTTTGAACCAATCTGCGTTTATTAAAGAGCGGTTGCTTATGGAAAACGTTCTTTTAGCAACAGAACTGGTTAAGGATTATCATAAAGATGATGTGTCTCCTAGGTGTGCTATGCAAATTGACATCTCTAAAGCTTTTGACTCCGTTCAATGGCCATTTCTTCTGAATGTTTTGAAGGCTATGGGTTTCCCGGGTAAGTTTATTAGTTGGATCTCGCTTTGCATTACTTCTGCTTCTTTCTCTGTGCAAGTCAACGGAGAGTTGGCCGGATATTTTCAGAGTAAGAGAGGTCTGAGACAGGGGTGCTCTTTATCTCCATATCTGTTCGTCATCTGCATGAACGTTTTGTCTAAGATGATTGATAAAGCTGCTCAAAGAGGAACAATTGGTTATCACCCGAAGTGTAGAAATATCAACCTTACTCATCTTTGTTTTGCTGACGACTTGATGGTTTTTGCTGATGGGTCCCGGAATTCTATTGAAGGTATCTTACAAGTATTTGATGAGTTTGATAGAATGAGTGGTTTGAAAATAAGCATGGAAAAATCTATTTTGTTTATGGCTGGGAATCTGCAGAAGCGAGAGGAGATTTTAAAAGAATTTCAGTTTGCTGTTGGTTCGCTTCCAGTGCGCTATTTGGGGCTCCCTTTGCTTACCAAGAACATGACAGTGCTTGACTATCTACCTCTTATTGAGAAAATTAGAAAGCGTGTGAGTTCCTGGAGGGGGAAGTTTCTTTCTTATGCTGGTAGGTTGCAGCTTATAAATTCTGTTATTATGAGTTTAACAAATTTTTGGATGGCGGCTTTCAGATTGTCTAGTGGCTGCATCAAAGAAATTGAGAGAATCTGTTCAGGATTTCTTTGGTCTGGTCCAGATTTGAATGGAAGGAAAGTGAAAGTTGCTTGGAGTGATATCTGTAAAACTAAGGAGGAAGGTGGTCTCGGTATAAGATCTTTGAAGGAGGTAAATCTGGTAAGTTGTCTTAAATTGATTTGGAGAATTCTCTCTACTCACTCTCTTTGGGTAAATTGGATTAAAACCTATCTCATAAGGAAAGGTTCCATTTGGATGATAAAAGAGAGCACACAATGTGGTTCATGGATGTGGAAGAAACTTCTGAGGTGTAGAGAGATAGCTAAAACTTTATATCGTGTTGAGGTGAGAAATGGAAGAAAGGCTTCTTTTTGGTTTGAAGTGTGGTCTTCGTTGGGTTGTCTTCAGGATATTATGAATGGCAGAGGATATTTTGATATGGGGATTCTCGCGGAGGACACGGTTGAGGCTTGTCGATATCATAGGAAACGAAATCATAGAATTCAAATTCTCAACAGTTTAGA